GGGGGGTGACGGTCCGGGAGCGGGGCGGCTGCATGGGCCCCATCTGGCCCAGCTACTACGGCGAGTGCAGCGCTCTCCTGGTGAGCGGTGACGGCTGCACCGGGACCCCTGCGCTGGCGGGGTGACGGTGGTGGCCAAGCGGGGACCCCGTCCTGAGCCCTGGCCCCGAGGGAGGGACCTGGGCACAGGGCGAGGGGCTCCCCATGGCTGGGGTTTGGCACTGGCCCCTGCTCCGCTGCGGGGGGGGGTCACCCTTGGTTTCGCCCTGGCTGGGTGATTTTCCTCCTCCCCGGGCCAGCGCGGGGCCACCCTCGGGCACGCCCGCACTGCTGCTTTCCCTTCTTCTCCTCCAGTTCGTGGTCGACGCCGCCAACCCCACCCAGGTCTCCTCGTCCTGCGTCCAGCTGCTGTCCGTCCTCTCCGCAGAGCAGCTCGCCTCCGTGCCCGTGCTCGTCCTCTTCAATAAGATGTGAGGAGGGGGGGTCAGCCTGGAGGGTGGGGGTGCACGGGGACACGCTGAGGGCCTGCAGTGGCTCCTGCGTCCCTTCCATCAGGTGACACCCGAGGAAGCCTGACGTGTCCTGGGGGGCAGCAGCCACGCTTTGCCACATTCTCTGGGCCCGTGGAGACCCCCGAGCTGGGGGATGGGCCAGGCGAGAGAGCCATCATGATGGGCTAATGCATGTCCCCCTCTGTCCCCGGCTGCAGTGACCTGCCCTGCTACATGTCGCTGGCGGAGATGAAGTCGCTATTCCGCATGCAGGACATCGTCTCCTGTGCCACGCAGCCCATCACGATGCTGGAGACCAGCGCCCGCGATGGTACCGGCCTGGCTGACGTCCTGCAGTGGCTTCGGGCCACCCTTGGAGACTCTCGCTGACCCCGACCCTGCCTGGGTGCCTGCAGCAACCCAGGCGAATCCTGCCACCGAAGGAGGTGGCCAGCGAGCAGCTGCCCTGCGTGGGGCTGGGAGCGGGGCCCAGGACAGTGTCACGGGCTGGTGGTGGAAGGACTCCTGTGGGACGTTACAGTAAAACCTCCACCTTACTGTCCAGGCTGGCAGCTGCCCTGTGCTCAGGTGGAAACCCTGGCCTTCTGGGGAAGGGATGAGCAAGAGCCTCAGGGGCCAGCCCATACCGGCACGGGGCCACACTGGCACCTCTGGGTGCAGGAGCAGTGGTTGTGGTGCTCACGGGCAGCGGGGCTGGGGGGTGCGACAGCAGTGCCTGGGCTGGGCTAAGCAGGGCAGGGGCTGGTAATGCCTCTGGGGTTGGAGGCCGAGTGTGTGTGGGGCTCCTGCTGGCAGCTTTGGCCCTGTGGGCCTAGCGGGGTGACCAGGGGGGGACATGTGGAAAGACTGCGGGGACCTGGGTGGGTGTTGGGAGCTGGGGCAGGCTGAGCTGCAGGGATGCCTCAGTTGGGGATGTCTCACAAGCTGCAGCAAGGGCCAGCCCGCGGCTGCTCTCCAGCACTCGCTCGGGCTCAGAGAATGGCTGGATCTGTGCGGAGAACCCGTCCCACGCCTGCACCGATAACCTGCGCCTGTGCCCTCACCGATAACCGATCCTGTGCCTGTGCTGACAGCTCAGCCCAGCCGAGCAGGCAGCTGCGTCACCTGGCGGCGCGAGTGCCAAGTCACAGGGTACTTTTGGCTGCCTGGGCCTGGCACACACCACAGCACAACCCTCCCTGGGTCTATTGGTGCTGTGCCACAGGGGCAACTGGCTTTCCAGGGCCAGGGGCTGCTGCCAGCATGCTGTGGTGCAAAGCGGCTCTCGGGGCTGGGGCCATGGACACTGCGCTGCGATGGGGAGTGGCTCCAGGGGCTGGGGACACCACACCATGACGGCGAGTGGCTCCCAGGGCTGCGCGTAATGAGGCAGCAGCAGTCCTTGCTTCCACGGTGCAGGCTGAGCTGGGCTCTTCCTGGGACAGCCCATGGGCAGGCAGATGGTGCTGAGGAGCCTGAGCACACCCTGCCATGGCTGCTGAGTCACCACCCCTAACGAACGCTGACGCTAACGCACCAAACCCACTTGCCTGCTTCCAACCCAACAGGTCCAGACACAGGCTGAGAGCCCTCCTGCACAGCTACGCTTTAATGGGCCAGGTCAGCCTGCAGCTGGGGAGCCAGAGCCTTCGGGTTCCTCAGCCCAGCGCTCGGCACCGTGGTAGTGTTCCTGGGCCCATCCTGCCGGCAGGCACAGTGTTCCCACAGGGCTGCCTGGCCTGGTGGCTAGGGGCCCAGGTGGCCTCATTCACCGGGAAGGTGTTGGCCAGCTGCTCTCCTCCCGGCAAGCCAGACATGGGGCTGGAGCTGGGTCGGTGCTGGGCAGCTCCTCGCTGCAGCCTTGGTGCTTCTGGGCAGTGCAAAGGGGGCTGCAGGTTCTCTCCAGCCAGAAAGCTCCACCGTCTCCGAAGGCTTCTGAAAACAGCACGACGTTGTTCTCCGGGCTGGCTGGGGCATTTACAGTTGTTCTCTTCTAACAGTAACCGCCCACAGAGAAGGGCTCTGCTGGCAAGCCAGCCCCGTGCGGAGCTGTGCCCTGGGACATGATGGCAGTCCTGGCCCTGGTCCTGCTGCGTCTGCTGTATCCCCAGCAGCTCCAGGCAGTGGGAGCACCCATGTCCCTGTGCTGCAGCATCCCCACGGAGCTGCCAGATGATGTGCCCCAGTGGGTCCTTGGCCACTGCAACCCGGAGGAGAGGATCTTCCCCAGCACCCCGTGGCCCCGCTGCTTCCAGTGCCAGGCTGCGATGGCTCAGAAAGAGGGCTGGATCCAGTGCCTGGCTGTGAGCAGAGTCTTGTCCTGTCCCGCTCCTTCCTGGGGAGTGTGACACTAAGAGAAGAGATACAGTCCCTGAGACGCTGAGAGTCTGCTGCTGGGGGCAGACAGCACTGCCCCATGCTCAAAGCAGAGAGGAGGCTCTCTAAGGGTCCCCGTCCCCCTCCTGTTCCCTGTCCCAGTCCCCTTCCCTGTCCCTGTCCTGGCTCTGCTGGTAGCCAGTGCCATCCCCAGACTGCAGCAGCACCAGGGATCCACCACCCCCTGGCACAGGCTGGGTACCGGGGCAGCCCAGCAGCCCGGGCATCTCCCCAGCGCGCTCAGCCCTGCATCCCCAGCTGCCGGCTGAGCCAGGTACGCTGCTGCCACGCCAGCAAAGCAAGGGGAAATGCCTCTGGGAAAGGCTGGCTTGCCCCATCACCTCCTGCACTTTCCCGCTCCCCGGCAAGCAGCACTCCGCCACAGCCGGGTTGGCCCTGGCAGTGCCGCGCTGTTGTGCTCCAGCACGGAGCAGAGGAATGTCCACGTGCCTGGCCAAGCTCCGAGCACTCTAACAGCCCCGTCTCCCCTTCATGCAAGCCTCACCTGGGACTCAGGTGCGTTTCTCTCTCTGCTCGTAAACAGAGTGAAGCTTCCGAATGAGAAATATTTTATCTTCCCCTTCCTGCAACAGCAGAGACATTGCAGTGAGCAGCCGTGGGATGGGCTCTTGCATGTCTGAGGCGGCAGTGTTGTTGGGGCTAGAGCCCGAATCTGGCAGTCCTGCGGCTGCACCAGGGCGTGGAGCAGCTGGGACTGCCAGGACCAGCACGCAGAGCTCACGCACATTGGCAATCTGCTCCTTCAGCAGGCAGATGATCCTCCGCTGGCCTCTCACCACCTGGATGTTGAAGTAGATCACAGCTCTGCAATGACAAGCGGGACAGGACGGTGGCAGCTGGGGGACGCTGCACTCCTGGCACTGGGTTGGGGTGCAGGGCTCTGGAGTGACACCCCAGCTCCCAGCCCCCACTCAGGGCTGTGACAGCGGGACCCTCAAAGCGTGGGCCCAGGGTTCAGCCTCGGGCTCGGGTCCCTACTCACAGCAGGACCCCGGACATGAAGAACAGGAGGAAGGTGTTCTCCACCACGTGCTGGTGGACCCAGGTGAACCAGGTGATGTTCGGGTTGGACTTCTCCAGCACTTGCACCCAGGTCTTCCCTGACTTGTAGATGGTTTCCAGCCCCTGGAAGGGACCACAGGTTTCTGACGGCCGCACCCTGAGCAGACAGAGTGATGGGGTCGGTCAGAGCGATGGGGTCAGTCAGAGCAATAGGCAGTCCAGCCGGCCACTACCCCCAGCCCAGGTCACTGCCCAGCCTCAGATGTCCCCGGGACCAAGCCTCACCTGCCCCAGCCGTCCCCAGTGGCTGGGCAAGGGGGGGCCCCTCCCCCAGCCGTCCCCAGTGGCTGGACAAGGGGGTCCTCATCCCCTTGTCCTGCCTCAGGAACAGCTGGGAACAGCTGGAAGAAGTGGGCACAGGCCAACTGCTGCTACACCGTGCAATGACCAGCGGCTGGGCAGCACCTGCTGCCTGGGGCAGCATCGCACAGCCCTGCGCTGGGCGCGATGCACTCTGCATGCTGTCAGGGCCAGGAAGGCACGGGCTCCCCAAGTCCCTCTCCTTTGCCAGGCAGCCGGCAGTTCTGCGCCCCGAGCCGTGGTCCGGCGGGTACTCACGACCAGATGGTGTAGGAGAGGAAGATGGCTGCACCCAGGAAGGACGGGAAGCACAGCAGGGTGATGAAGACGGTGCTCATGTGAGATGCTTGCCAGGGCTTGCTGGGGGACTGGCAGTTCTGCATCAGGCTGGTCTGCAGGCAGGGAGCAGAGTCCTGCATGCTGCTCTCTCCTGGGAAGTGGCCCCAGGAGTGCAAGCAGGACAGCTGCCCCCACCCTGCCGTCCCGTCCCTCCCATCCGCCGGGAGCCGAGTGAGCTCGGGGACACCCTGTCCCCAGCAACACCTCCTCCCTCCCACAAGGACAGTGCTGCTCACTGCACGGTGCAGCACCCCTGCTGCATGCTGCTGTGGCAGGGTGCAGTGTCACCGCAGGGCTGCCCGTCGTGGGGACGCATGGGGAGCTGCGGGGTGGGGGATCAACTCACACCTTTTTGATATAGAACAGCAGCAGCAGCTTCAGCATCTGCACGGCCGGCAGGAGCGGTGCGAAGAGAACGCCCAGCCTAGGAGAGAGAGGGGGAAGATAAGCTTGTCCCAGGTCTGGGCCCCGTGGGAGCTAGTGGTGGGCAGAGCTGTGGGCGGCAGCAGGGCACCATCGCCAGCTGCGGTCAGGCTTTTGTAAAGCAAAGAGCAAGCACACGACCCCCCGTGCCAGCTTTGCTGCGCAGCCTGGGCTGGGATCTCACTGATCCCCGGGGCAGCCGTAGCCTTTGTGGCTCTCAGGTGCGTTGCGAGGGGGAACGCAGCAGCGCGTGCGTGGATCCCTTCCTTGGGCAGGGGAGCGCGAGGCCGGGGGATGCAGAAAGGTGGGGGGTGGCAAAGTAAGGGCATGAGCAGCCGAGCGGACAGGCTGGAGGGGAGCAGGTCTCCTGGAGCAGTGAGTGCCATTACGGTCTGGACAAACGAGAGGGGCTGCACATGCACCAGAGCCTGCTCCTCCCCCAGAGCTCTGGGGGGACCAGCTGGGCAGGGGACACTGGGCTGGTCCTGGGATGCTCTGCTGCTGATTCCCCAGTGGCTCTCACCCCGTCGCCAAAGCCAGACCTCCTGGGTGAGCGTGTGGGTTGTGGCTGTAAGGTGCTGGCACCAGGAGCTGTGAATGCCAGGCCGCCCGTCTCCCTCGTCCCACCCATGTGGGGCTGGGGGGGTCTCCCACAGCCATGCTCAGTGAAACGTGTGCAGGTCCCCGTGCCTGGTCCCTGCCAGCTGTGGGGCTCACAGGGACTACAAGGTGTTCGCCAGCAGAGCCACTCCAGGCTAGATGGCATCTCACCAGGTCAGGGTCTGCCCGTAGATCAGCTCCAGCACGTTTCGGGCGATGTCAAACTCAGGCTTCTGCTTCCTCTTCAGCCTCTTCTCCAAGATCAGCCTGGGAAGGAGCAGAGCTCTGCTCCCACACTGCCGCTGCGGGGGACGCTCGGCAACCCATCTTCCCCCCTCACAGTGGCAGAGCCTGGGTGCACCAGGGCAGCACCGACCGGGCAGCGGAGAGCCGGGGCCGTGCCGGGGATGCCACACCAGCGGGGGAACCCCTCCCAGGGCACGTTACCTCCAGACCAGCTCCCCAAAGAGCGTGTCCATCAGGCTGAATATGAAGTCCATCACCACGAAGCGATACAGGTCCTGCCCCACACATGTCTCCCAGCACTGGGGAGACAAGCAAAGGTGGCATCAAGCATGCAATGAGGCTTGTCCTCCCCCATGGCCTTTCCATGGTCCCCATGGGGTGTGAGGGGCTGTGGGACCTTTTCCTCCCCTGCACCCCTTTCCCCAGCCACCCTGTGCTTGGGGTGCCCCTGTCTGGCTGTTACCCCCCCTCTCCCCAGCAAAGGAGACGATGTTGCCTGCAGTGCTATCTGGCAGACGCTGTCCGGCAGACCCTGTGCTGCCAGACCCCTGCCCCTGCTGGTGCTGGGACCGTAGCCTTGGCTTTGCTCCGTGCTCCCCAAGCAAGGGACAGTCCGGATGGCATGGCCCAGCCAGCTCACATGAGTGCCATGGGCTCCTCGCATGGATCCACGCAGAGCGCAGCCCTGCACAGCCCTGGGGTGACAGCACTGACCTCCTCTGTCGAGCAGACAACTCTCCGGCTGAGCCACTGATAGCAGAGCAAGCCAAGGACCGCCATCTTCAGAATGAGGTTCCTGGGGAGTGGGAGTGGGGCCGGGAGCCCCTGAGCCCTGGGGATGGAGGGACCAAGCCCCGCAGACAGGGTGCCCGGCCCCAAAGCCTTCCCCAACACTGCAGGTGGGGGTGCAGGACACTCCCCCTGCCCCAGCCCCAGCCACCCTACCTGCAGATCGCCACGTAGACCTCTGCCACAGGGGAGTCGTGCTTCTCCCACATTGCCAGCAAGTTGTACAGGTGGGGCATCAGCGCGTTGAGGAGGGACACCACGAGGGGCAGGACCAGCAGGATGGCTTCCTGCTGCCACTTGCTGCTGCCCGGGGCTTGGGAGTCCTGCTGGACCTGGCGAGGGGGGAACCGGGGGAGGAAAAAAAAAGGTACCAGGGTAAGCACATGGCTGCCGGCAGCCCAGCACCCTCGGAGAGGGCAGCAAACGTTGACGCCAGGAGGGGAGCTGCAACGGGGCTACCCCTGCCTCGCAGGGCTGCTCTGGCCTCCCTCCCCGGTACCTCAGCCCCAGCCGCCCAACACCAGGGCAGGAGATCCCACGGTGAGGGGCGGCACTCACCATGTGCATGTGCTCCGAGAAGTAGTGCACAGCCAGCACGCAGCCCAGCACTGTGCTCAGTGAGAGGGCCCAGGCCAGGAGAAGCACAGCTGTATGCCCCAGGCGCTGGCAGAGGCTCAGGGAGCGGGAACGGGACCGCTGTTCTGCGAGCAGCTCCTGGAAGAGAGCAGTGCCAGTGCTCCCGTGAACGCCTTTGCCTGCCCACTGCAGGGCACAGGGCATGCAGGGGCCAGCTCCAGCCCAGCTCCTCACCTTCAGCTGGGTGCGGATGTTCTCGCACTGCAGCTTCACTGAGCGCCTCTGGATCACCTTGAAGTCCCAGGCACAGAAGACTTTGACGGCCAGGTCCCCCGCATAGCTGCCCACGCGGTAGCTCTCCCCAAAGGAGCAGGACATGCTGCAGTGAGGGGGAGGGCATCAGGTCATCAGGGCTGGGCAGCAAGGGGAAGGCTGGCAGTGCCGGAGGTGCTGCTGACCCACCTGTACACCAGCAGGATGCAGGTGATGAGGAAGGAGACCCCAACGCTGAACACGTAGGCCAGCGGCATGTTGTATGGGAGCAGGGGGGCTGCGAGGGGGCACGCGCTGCCGTTGGGGCTGGAGGCGCGGGGGTCGTTGAGGGTGATGTTGCTGTAGTAGCCATAGTACAGCAGCGAGTGAGTGAAGTAGCCCTGTGGGAAAGTGCACGATGGGGCCCATGGTGATCTCACTGGTGCCCATGGCTCCCTGCCCAGCCTGGCTCAACTGTGCCACCTTGCAGGGGCACAGAGCCCTGGGCCAGGGCAGCACCAGGCACCCGCTTCTGCACCCACAGCACTGGTGGTCCCAGGGTCCCGGCTGTGCGAGGGCAGGGTCTGGGGCGTCATCATGGCAGGGGATGCAGGGCAGGGACCAGGGTATCGCCATGGCAGAGGATGCAGGGATGCAGGGCAGTTACTGAGGCTTTGCTGTGGCGGGGATGCAGGGCTGGACCCCGGGCTTAGAGCCGCTCCTGCCCAGGGATGCGCTGGCACTGAGGTGCTGGCAGTGCTTACCGCTCCCGTGAGGAGCTCGAGGCCAGTGAAGGGCTGGGGGCTGGCCGAGGCAGGGGGATACGCAGCCTGTAGGGCCACCACGAAGACAAGGAGGATGAGGCATAAGAAGATGTTGAACACGAGGAGTGTCTTGAGGAAGAGGAAGTAGGAGAGGACGCTGGAGCCGAAGCGGCCGCCAATCTGCTTCAGGGCATAGTGCCAGGGCTGCGCGGCGGGGAGCAGGGAAAAGAGCCTGTACCAGAGGTTCCGGCAGCCCTGGGGAGAGGAAGCCTAGGGAGAGCACCGGGGCCGGAGCCTGTACCGGAGCCCCCGACAGCTGCTGTACAGACCCGCGCCCCAGACTTACGAGGACGATGTAGTCCTTGCACCATCCACAGGGCGAGGAGGAGGCCCGGTGCTGGGTGTGCTGCCTCAGGGGGGCCTTCTGCCTGATCAGCTCCTGCCTGCCCAGCAGAGAGGGATGTCAGAGAGCGGCATGGGCCCTGGGATAGCTCCGGCTGTGGGGGCTCTGCCTGGCCAGGGTCGGCAGGAGAGGACCTACCGGAGGATGCGTTTCTCTGCCAGGCTGAGGGGCACGGTGAGCAGCATGTGGCTGCGCTGGCTGGGCAAGAGGCTCAGCATCTCCTTCACCAGCAGGCTCCGCTTGTCTGGGGGCACAAGGGGCTCAGGGGGATGCAGCTGGCCAGGACATGGCGTGCCCATCCTGAACCCAGCAAGGGGACAGTGCCCAGCACTGCCTGCCCCCACTCCCAGAGGACCCTCACCTTCCAGCGTGGCCCTGGCAGGGTCAGTCTCCAGGTCATACTGCCGCAGGCTGGGCCGCGCCGTGCGGCAGAGCTGCTGCAGGGGTGGGCGGCTGCTCCGGCGCCGCAGCCGGGCCGTGCGGTTGTAGTACTGGGAGATGATGGCCCCACGGCTGCGCCCTGTGGGTGAGAGCAGGGCAACGGGGTGGGTGGCCAGCCAGCCATCGGAGAGCAGGGCAGATGGGAGAGCTCTGCCAAGGGGCTCCTGGGCCTGGGGAAGGGCAGGAGGGTGGGGAGCACCTACCGATGGTGCGGCTGGGCATGCTGGCGAGGATCCGCAGGGAGGCGGAGGAGTAGCCAGGGTGCTGCTCATCCTGCTCGGGCTCCGGCCAGGCTGCGGCACAGGCGTCTAGGGGGACCGCATGCTCTGGGAGACGGAGGGCAGGATGCAGAGCAGTGAGAGCCAGAGCACCCATGGCTCCAGTCCCTGCAGCCCTGCTTGCCCTGCTCCAGCACCAAGGCCAGGCACCTGCCCCGGTGTGTGCTCTCCCTGGAGCATCCCCTTCTCCAGAGACGCTCTCTGTGTCCCCAAGGGCAGGTCTGCCCCGTTGCCTGCGCTGGCGAAGGCGTCAGTGGGCTCCTACAAGTGCTTTGGCCGCAGCCTCAGCACGAGCCCTAGCTGGTCCAGGCAGGGTCCGGGACGGTAGATGGCCCTAGACACACACACTGTTCCTGTCCCACCCCAGCTGTGGCCACAGCGCTTTACCTCTGCCCCTCGCCTGCATCTCCAGCTCCAGACCCGCCTCTACCAAGCTGCTCTGCTCCTGGATGAGCTGATGGAAGGAGGTGTGCAGGGCTCCTTCGTTGTCTGGGCTCGGCTCCTGGCTGCAGGAACACAGACACGCTCACCTGGGGCCGGACTGGGCACCAGGGCCCGGGGGATGGAGCCATGGAAAAGACCTGGTGCCAGCCCAAAGCCTGGCCGTGCCACCCTGTAGCATGGGAACCCAGTGCCTGCTGGGCACAAGGGCTGCTCTCTCCTGCAGCGGGGATGCCAGCCTTGTGCCGCTGGGGCTGCAGGATCCCGGGGACCAAGCATGCGGGGGCATGGCTCGGGCAGATGCGGGCAGCAGGAGGGCAGGCCCACACTCACCCATTGCTCTCGGTGTCCTCAGAGACGTGGAGGGCGAAGGAGGGCGACTGGGACATCCTGCCGGGGCTGAGCGGGTCCCTGTGGCACCGCACTCCCTCCAACACGCCGCCCTGCCACAGCAAGGGGACAGGCGTCAGCCGGCGTCGCGCTGCTGGCACCCACGGTCACCCCGACACCCACGGTCACCCCGACACCCACGGCTGCCCCGGGGCACATGGGGTCCCGCCTGCCCTTGGGACGGGGATGGAGCCGGAGCCGCTGCGTGTGGGAGCCCAGGGCAGGCGGGAGCTAAACCCGGGTCTAAACCCGGGACTAACAGCGAGGCCAACCCGCCTCGGCGGCCCAGCAGGCGGGGAGCTGAGGCGGGGGAAGGAAGGAAGGAAGGAAGGGCGGGCGGGCGGGTGAG